TTTTCTTTTTTTTTTTTGTAGAGACGGGCATCTCTCACTCTGGCTGATTTTGAACTCCTGGCCTCAAGCAGTCCTCCCACCTTGGCCTCCCAAAGTGGCAGGATTAGAGGTGTGAGCACCAGTGCCAAGCCATAGACATTATTTTAATCTCTCAGGCTGCTAGGGCAAAAAAATGATCTCACCCTTGTATTAGTTTCACGATTATTACTGAGATTTTATGATATTTCATATGTTGTCCTTTCACTTTTGAAAATTGTACATGTTTATGTGCTGTGTATTTTCTGTTGGAATTATTCACAAGATTTTAAAACATATTTAGGAAAGTTATATGATAGTAGTTCTCTGTTACAAGCTAGGAGAGCTTATAAAAGTCAGATTTAGAGACTACTAAGGCTTAAAAATATAGAAAATATTTATAAGTAGGCTAGGCGCGGTGGCTCATGCCTCTAAATCGTAGCACTTTGGGAAGCCGAGGCTAGAGGATCGCTTGAGGCCAGGAGTTGGAGACCAGCCAGAGCGAGAATGAGACCCCGTCTCTACTAAAAATAGAAAAATCAGCTGGGCGTGGTGGTGCCTGTAATCCCAGCTGATCGGGAGGCTGAAGCAGGAGAATCCCTTGAGCCCAGGTTTTCAAAGACCGAGTCTCACTCTGTCTTAAAAAAACAGGCCGGGTGCAGTGGCTCACGCCTGTTATCCTAGCACTCTGGGAGGCTGAGGTGGGAGGATCGCTTGAGCTCAGGAGTTTGAGACCAGCCTGAGAAAGAGTGAAACCGTGTCTCTACTATAAATAGAAAGAAATTAGCCAAACAACTAAAAATAGAAAAAATTAGCCAGGCGTGGTGGCGCTTGCGTGCAGTCCCAGCTACCTGGGAGGCTGAGACAGGAGGATCGCTTGAGCCCAGGAGTTTGAGGTTACTATGAGCTAGGCTAACGCCATGGCACTGTAGCCCAGGCAACAGAGTGAGACCCTGTCTCAAAAAAAAAAGAGAGAGAGACACCAGCCTAGACAACATAAGAAGATCCTTGTTGCTACCAAAAAAAAAAAGCCAGGTGTGGTGGTGTGCTCCTGTAGTCCCAGCTGCTCTGGAGGCTGAGGCAGGAGGATTGCTGGAGCCCAGGAGTTTGAGGCTGCAGTGAGCCATGATGGCACCACTGCACTCCAGCCTGGATGACAGAGTGAGACCCTGTCCCAAAAAGGCATCGGATGTCATCTTTACAGCTCCCTCAGGATACCCACGGTGAGAGGGGAGAATACCCAAGGTGAGAAGCTCGTGAGTGACAGCAGGATTCGGGCCCAAGGGACTCTGGCCTTGGTAGATGAGCAACAGTACCAAGGCTCAAGGTGGAAAAAAGCATGAGCTGAAGAAGGATCCAGAGTGTGGGAGACACAGTAGCGTCCTTGGTTGTGGGGCTTGTCACAGCGGAGGTGCCTCTGCCATCAAAAGGGTGAACTCAGCAACAGACGATCTTGTGGTTGGAAAGTTCTTGGTTTCCTTCTTTTTTGTTATTTGTTTGTTTGCATTTTGTTTCATTCTTGGACTTGTAGAAGACTAAAGGTAAAAGAAACATTTATTGAAATGTGTTTAGGGCTCAGATTTTGCTAGCTATGGCATAAATTTTCTTGGGGATGTTAACATTTCAGAGTTAGTTTTTTGTAATGTCCCCAGTCTTGCATTTAAATGGTGATAGCCCAGGAGCAATGTTGGGGTTCTGTGCTCCGAGGTCATCAGGGAGCTAGAAGTCTGGCTGCTGAGCCGACTCCGATTTTACCTTTAGTCAAGGTGACTTAGGGTTGTGAGTGCTTCCTACTTAGAGACTGGGCGGGTCTTCATTAGTTTAGCAACAGGTCCAGAAGTTGAGTCTTAGTGAAAATCATTTTAAAAGTTTCAGTTAATGACTATAGTATATAGAACATTAGAAAACAGAAGTAATATCATAACTCATGCTGTTAATTTGGGTGTTTTTTCATGATCATTTCTGGTGTTCATTTTAACATCATCATTTTACTTTCAGCCATTGGGATAACAGTTGAAATAATTTCATTTCTCAAAACTTAACATTCTCTATGATAGCTTCTTTATGATAGATTTTTGATACCTGTAAAGACATTCATTTGATAACTCAAACGCTTGTCTGGAAGATCGATTTACAAAGTGGCACTTCAGACTGCCCCTTAGTGTCACGAGTGTTGTCGCATTTGCTGCAGGAGAAGGCTGCTCTGTCAGTTGCATCAGCTTAAAAGAAACTTCGGTTGCTCATTAGCCTTTTTGCCACTGTGAACACTTTGTTGGGAGAAAAACAAACTGCATTTCATTTTATTTTAAAATATACTTGCTTAAAAGTAACATTTCAGGCAGGGTGAGGTGGCTCAGCCTGTAATCGTAAAACCCTGGGAGGCCCAGGTGGGAAGATTGTTTGACCTCAGGATTTGAGACCAACTTGAGCAAGAGCAAGACCCTAACTCTGTCTCTACTAAAAATAGAAAAATTAGCTGGGTACATGGCACCTGTCTGTAGTCCCAGCTGCTTGGGAGGCTGAGGTCGGAGCATCGCTGGAGCCCAGGAGTTTGAGGTTGCAGTGAGCTGTGATGATGCCATTGCAACCTCAAAAAAAAAAAAAAAAAAATCAGAGAACTGGAGTTTTGGGGGAGGCTTTGCCTCAGCTGCCTCAGTTTCCTTGGAATGGGATCTATATCACTACGTTATGCAGGGGAATGCGGGTGGCCAGAGCAGCGTGGTTCAGAGGGGCGTCCCCTTGAGGGTGTGCAGAGTAGATGGCCTTGTGGACGGGCACTGGAGTCACTGGGCCAGCAGTGCCCAACAGCAACAGGGTGTTGCCTGTGTTTGCATTTGTAAGAAGAAACCATTGGATCCTAGGGTCACACACCCCTCACCCCAGAGCTGTCCCTGCTCTCCAGGCCACGCAGCTGGGTTGGACAGGGGTGCCCTGCACCTTTCTGGCCAATGTGTGGCTCAAAACTGTGATTTTAGACTGCTGTCAGGATTCAGGTATTACAGATTTTTTTTTTTTTTTTTGAAACAGAGTCTCACTTTGTGGCCCGGGCTAGAGTGCCGTGGCGTCAGCCTAGCTCACAGCAACCTCAAACTCCTGGGCTCAAGTGATCCTCCTGCCTCAGCCTCCCTAGTAGCTGGGACTACAGGCGTGCGCCACCATGCCTGGCTAATTTTTTCTCTATATGTTTTTAGTTATTTGGCTAATTTCTTTCTATTTATAGTAGAGACAAGGTCTCGCTGTTGCTCAGGCTGGTCTCGAACTCCTGAGCTCAAACAGTCTGCCCGCCTCGGCCTCCCAGAGTGCTAGGATTACAGGCGTGAGCCACCGCGCCCGGCCCAGATTTGTTTTTAATGTTAATACCCTCGATACCAGCAGGTTTTTTCAGGTAGCTGTTTTACATTCTAATTTTTTTTTTTTACAAGGAAAAGATGTGCTTAGTTTTAAAAGTATTTCAGGAACAGCTCCAACACCTCCCATACTTTCCTCCTTCGCTGACAAACACTCCTGACCGTTGTGTGCAGGGACCCTCACCATGAGACTGGCTGGCTGTGGGCATCTCTCATGTGCCCCGGTGTGACAAGGACAGTGGATCAGGACGACTGGCTCTAGGATCCTTCTTGGAACAGAGAGGCGTGTACTGAGCGTTCGTGGAGGGTGGGGGACAAGCAGTCTGTGGACTGGGTTCCCAGGGTGGCGTGGGATGGGGGTGCACAGGCTGTGCTGCTCCAGGGCCCCTCTTGGGGCCCAGAGTGACCGTGGCCTCTTCATCACGGTGTCTCAGAGCATCTGCGGCGTGGGACTGCGTGGATGCCCTGTTGGTTCTTTTTCCTGCAGGGCAGCCGTTTGCTGCTGGCCTCACAGGCATCTGTCGTAGGTTGTGTACAGATCCATCCCCTGCAGCCCCCGAGAGGGGCCCAACTAACCAGGGCGAGAAGTCCTTTCTCAGACCTGCCATCCTCCGGGCAGCCTTTGAGCTGCAGGCGAAGTAGGAGGTGGATGGGGGCCAGGTGGAGAGTGGCCTTCAGGGCCTGCATTTGGGGGAAGGTGACTGGGAGCTCACAGGAGAGCAGCTCTTTCTGGGCAGTTCTGTAGAGCGATGAATTGTTAAGCAGATGAAATACAAGCTTTGCCCACCCCGTGCGGTCCACACTTGTGACCTCCACGGAGCAGGTCCCAGATACCTGTTACGGCGGCATGAAAGGTGGTTTCCTTGGCGTTGTGACGACCTTGATCGCTGGTTGTTTGTGTTTTGATGGAAAATGTTTCTTTTATTGTACTTCACCTGAGTTGGTGAGGAAACAGTTTTAAATTTAGGGTGAACGGCGTCTGCTGGCACCTTCTCTGGTGTGCTGCTTGTCACGTGCCCTGTGCTGGGCCAGTGTCACCCTCTGGGTCCAGCCAACGGTTATTTCCTTGCTTTCTAGCCTTGAGTGTCATTGGGATCTGTAGATACGACTGAATGTTGGAAATTTTATTTGTAGTGTTTTTCGGGTTTATTTCCAGTTCAGGCGTATGTGGACTTGGCTTTTTAATCGTGACTCTCTGCTGCTGTGCCGTGCTCTTCGTCAGGTGTGGGGGGCCTTCCGGGAAGCCCGGGTGTGTTGCTCGGTACCGCTGGGATGTGGGGGCAGACTCGGCCGTCAGCCTCAGAGGACTCGGGCGAGATGTTTCGCTTAATTTAAACCAGATGGATAAGGACCACTTTTTAACTGCGTGCACATGTGGGTTTGGGGCAGGCAATGTGTGGCGCAGTGTTCTTCAGGCTGTCCTCTGAGGGACAGCCCCTCTGCGTCACCCTCTGGTAATTCTCGAAGAATCAGCCTGTGGAGTTGCACAGCGTACCCTGCTCTGTGGACATTCGGGTGGTTCCTGTCTCTTGTGGTTGCACACAGTGCTGCGGCGCGTGTCCCCCTGTGTGGCCATCGCGCAGGTGCTGTGCGCCCTGGCCGGAGCCCTGCAGGTGTAGGTGGTTTCGCTTGCTAGACGCCGCCGCGTCGTCCACCTAGAGGCCTCCCGGTCACACTTCCAGCACCCACTTCTGAGCGAGTTTTTCTCCCTGTTGTAATACCGTTGCCGTTACTCATTCACTGTTCAGAAGATACTTACTGTGTCCCTGCCGTGGGCCATGTGATGTTCTGGGCGCTGAGGATAGTACAGCTGTGAACAGAACAGACCGTCCTTCCCCGCGTGGCGCTGACGTTGCGGCGGGATGAGCGCTAACCCGTAAACAAACCTTTCGAACTTTATTAACGTGCTGGGTGAAAAGTAGTATCTGTGTGTTTTCCGTTTCTCTTATGAGTGAGATTAGCATCTTTTTACATGCTGAAGGGCCATATCTGTTTCTGTGAGCTTTATGTTCACGGCGTTGCTCCTTCTGTGGGGTTGTTAATCGTTTCTGCTTTTGTAGGAGCACTGTGGTGTGTCAGGTTTCTCAGCCTTGGCCCCGTGCTGGCCCTGATGCTTCTTCCCTGCGGGGGCTGTCCTGCGCGAGTTCAGGGCGTCCAGCAGCGTCCCTGGCCTCTGTATGCCAGTGGTACCCCGAGTCTGGCAGACAAGAATGTTTCCAGACACTGCCAGACGTCCCGAGTGACAGTTGAAAAAATATAGAAAAGCTTTACACGACGGCACTTTTCTCAATAGTCTGGCCGGTGAGGAGAGGGGAGCTGTGGCGGGGGGGAGGCGTGCGTGTTCCCCGAGCCCTGTGTCAGGGAGGCTCCCTCAGATGCAGAACTGTTGCGATTTACAAATAAGACGCTAGAATGAGAAATCCATTTTATTTAGATGCTTTTAAGACTTAAAAATTTTACTCTTGTCAGCTGAATTTACAAGAACAGACGCTCTGTACCTAAGCAACTCTTGCGTGTGACCTGTTCCGACGCACTGAAAAGCGAGTCCTCCAATCTCACGAGTCTGGTGTCTGCTCTGCAGCAGCCACGCTTTCTCCCGCGTGGATGTGGCTCATCAGGTCGCACGTCACACGGTTCCAGTCTGCCTGAACTGCTGTTCCCTGCGCTCGGCCTCGGCAGCCGGGGGAAGCAGGGTGTCTGGGTTCTGCGGGTCCCCTAGGGGTCCTGTGCACCCGAGTCCTGCAGGACGCAGCACTGTTCTGTCTGCCCTGATTCTGCGTGTCGCTCCGGCCTTCGGAGCTTAGAGCAACAGCTTTGAACAGCTGCTGAAACAGTTCAGATACAGCCTTGTGACGGTGAAGTCCGTTTTGACTGGTTTCACCTAGCTTTTGTGTACCTTGCTTCAGAATTTTAAGAAAAATTCTAATAAAATATTAGGCTAAAATTTTTAAAACATGTTCTCTGAATCATTAAAATTATTCAATTTGTCCCATTTCGTGTCCCTTATTTTTGGAATTTTGCGTTGTATGTAATCCATCTGTGATTCTTTTTCTTTCGTGTCTTTCAGCAAACGAGGGTTCAGCGTCCGGTCCTTTGGAACAGGGACTCACGTGAAGCTTCCGGGACCAGCACCCGACAAGCCGAATGTCTACGATTTCAAAACCACATATGACCAGATGTACAATGACCTTCTCAGGAAGGACAAAGAACTGTATCCCAGTGGCTGCCCTTCACCCCGTGTGGTTGTCTGGGGCAGGCGTGGTTTGTGACACGTGCGTCACTCTGACCCCCACCCCGTAAGGAGCGTTCTGTGTGACTCGGGCACAGGAGGCGTGGTATGCCGCGTCACCTTGTGTGCGGTGCAGACACCCGCTCCTTTTTAGTTAAGAGAACTTGGTTTCTGTTCGTGGTGCTCATTGGATAGTGTGAGGGTCAGGGCCACCCATGGCAGGGGAAACCTTAAGGCACACGGACCCAGTCAGGCACAGGTTCTGACGTAGTGTCACCCAGGGAAGCTTAGATGAGGAAAATGGAAACCATGAAACCCTGTTACTTTTCACACTGCAGGGCCGCCCGGCCGTTTTCTCCGCAGGTAGGTGTGTGTGCGTGTGCTGATGCGTGTGGAGTTGAGCTGCTTCACACGTCTGACGCCCTTAAGAGAGTCAGAGAAAGTGGAGGCCAAGTTTGCTGCTGAAGCTGCTAGAAGCAGATAATTTAAGAGAACATTACTTCATTCAGGAAGAGACAAAACAGCCTGGATCTGCTACTTAAGACTCATGTGAAAAGAAAAGGTATTTTTAAAAATAGATTTTTATGAATGTGACACCAAATCGTATAACCGTGTATCGTCAGTGCCTCGGGTTTCTGACCAGGCGTTGCCTGATCGCACCACACTCGTTTAAAATTTCTGGACCTTCTTTTGTTATAGTGAGTGATCTGTAGTTCTCAGAATGAAGCCCAAACATATTCCAGGTGAAAGGAGTATAAACATCAAATGGAAAACTTTTTGTCTTAATATTGGCACTCTTGCAATTTTTAATAAACTAAACATGTTTTTTGAACACATGTAGATCAAATAGCTATTGGGAGGGGCCTGAAGGTCATTCTAGAAAAATGCAGAATTAGATCCTGGGTGTTGCTGCATCTCCTGCCCTCCCTGCTGCCTCCCCTGCCAGCTGCACGTTGTGGGTGGGGACGTTGGGGTGGAATCCCTGTGGGGGGTCCCCGTCAGCGCCACAGCCAGGCCTGCCAGTGGGCCGGGGTCTGGACTCGCGCAGGGCCTGTGACGCAGTCCTGGCTCTCACTGCAGTTAGTGCACGTCCCTCGGTCCTGAGCACATCTGCTGCTCCTCTTCTCAGAAGCCCTGGAGCCTGCGTTTGAAAAACCTCCCCAAGGACTTCTGATGAGCTGCTGGCTGCGCCGCGTCCCCTGCGTCCCCCGTGTTCCGTGTTGGGCGAGCTCTGCCTGCTCCGCTCACGTCCGTGGCTGAGAAGGAAGGTGGCGTGGTCTCAGAAGTCTCCCCTCCCTGAAACTCGGTGTGAGAGCTGCCTGTCCTGTCGCTTGCTGTGTCTTTGTCCCCTGAGCCTTACTGGGAAGTGTGACCACAAAGCCCCTTTCTGAGGGTCTCATTTTGGAGCTGTGTGCTTCCCTTAGCCCTGGAAAAAGCTGTGTTCTCACTTCCGGATTTTCATTACGTACGTTAAACTCTTTATACCGTGAAGCTTATTCTCAGATCCTATCTGTTTTTAAAAATTCTTGAGTCAAGTTAGCACCATTCATTTTTAAACTCTTCTATTCAATGAGAGATATAAAAACAAGATAATGCACATGATAGTAGCCCCTTAATATAAATTAAGCTCTCTCACGTCAGAGCCAACATGACCTCCTATTTACGGACACTGATAGCACTTCCCTTGTTTAACGGGGACTGAGTCTAGCTTCAGCAGTCAAGCTCAGAGGCACTTGGTAAGGGGGAGGTGGTCTGCGTGTCTAGGTGGTTTGTTTTTAAGATACCAGCTAGAGCGCGGTGGCATCAGCCTAGCTCCCTGCAGCCTCAACTCCTGGGCTCAAGTGATCCTCCTGCCTTAGCCTCCTGAGTAGCCGGAACTACAGGCGCCACCGTGCCCGGCTAATTTTTCTATTTTTTTATAGAGACAGGGTCTCGCTCTTCCTCAGGCTGGTCTTGAATTCCTGAGTTCAAACAATCCTCCTGCCTTGGCCTCCCAGGGTGCTAGGATTACAGGTGTGAGCCACCATGCTCGGCCCAGGTTCTGAAAGAAGGAGCTGAGAGACCAGTATCTTGGAATTCAGAATTTCCTTCTTTACAGGGTGACTTTGTACAAGTCAGTGGACTCCCCGTGAAGTATCCAGTCTGTCCAGGAGAAAACTGTGCGTGTGTGTGGCCTTGATGCATGGGGAGTGGGACTGTCAGCTTGGGGTGATGTGGCCACTTTCGTGGTGCTGTGACGTTGCAGCAGGGATAGTACTTGCCTTTCAGGGACCCTGTATAGGGAGGTCCTCTCATTCAGGCTGCCCTTCACAGGGCTGTGGGAGGAGGGACACCTTTGTCCCTAGCGTGTGTTGCTTGAGTGAGACGTCTGTCTTCTAGGTGGGGTAGGGAGGTGGGTACAGTGAGGTGCTTGGTGCTTAGCTATGGTATTCCAAGTCCTGCCCTTGGCCGGCAAAGGAGGGATGTCTCCAGGGAGTTCTGTGGACGCTGGCACGGTGCTGGATGGGACAGCGTTCTTCCTCGCAGGAGGGAACAGCAGATGTGAGGGAGGTGGGGTGGGTCAGGGCGGGCCAGTGCTCCTTCGCTCCCTGGGGGGCAGGTGCTCAGACACTGTGTAGAGGTGCCCTGAGGACAGGACTCCATTAGTGGCGGGGTGGGACCTGCAGGTAAGGCAGAAGAGCTAAGAGCCCAAAACTGTGACAGAACAACCCCTGTGTCTGCAGAAGTGACAGCTAGTAACATCTGCAGTGGAAAGCCAGTCGGGTACCTGAAGGTGTAACTCGGAGATAAAATACGACATTTAGTAAAGCATTTAAATTTCAAGGAGCAGGATGGTGCGGCTTGGCAGGAAGATGCGGCTGGGTTAGGCAGAGCCCAGAGCTGGCGGCTGCAGGGGCCAGCTCTCGACCCTCGGCATGTGCTGCTTGGCCAGGCCTTGGTTTCCTTGTGTGTGTCCCCCTCACAGAATCTCTGATAATTAAATCAGAACATGCAGATGCTGAGCATGGCACCTTGTTTTTTAAGTCCTCAATAAATTTTGGCCAGTAGTCCCGTTAGTATTGAAGTAATTTCTTAAATACAGATATCCCTCAGCTTGCCGTGGGATCACATCCCGATAAACCCATCGTAAAGTCAGAAAGCCTTCAGCTGAGGTGCTGTAAGTCAAGGACCATCTGTATTTGGCCGTACGTTGGTTTTCATCCCAAAAGCGGGAGCAGAGCTGCGGGGTGTAGGGGCTCGGTGACTGGCTCCTGCGGACCTGGCCTGTGGGGGTCTTTGAGGGCAGCGGGGCTGGGACATTAGGGTGGAAAACGTGTTTAACTGAAACCAAACTATTAATAGTTGTTTTCCCCTAATTATTGTTGGTAAAGCTAGACTGGGTTAGTTAATTTTACACCACCATTTCCCTTTTGGGAATTGTCTGCTAAGAGTGTATACATGGACCAGGAATAGGAAACCTAAATTCACCTGACTCCATAGACAAATATGAAATAATCTATGTAGATTCTTTTTTATTTTTAAAATTTTAAAGATTTGATTTTATAGAGATGGGGTCTCCCTATGTTACTCAGGCTGGTCTTAAGCAGTCTTCCTGCCTTGGCCTCCCAAAGTACTGGGGTTATAGGTGTGAGCCACTGTACCTGGCCTTATTTTTTATTTATTTGGATTTTTTTAGATAATGGGGTGCACGATCATAGCTCACTGCAGCCTTTAACTCCTATGCTGAAGTGATCCTCCTGCCTCATCCTCCAAGTAGCTGAGACTACAGGTGCCACCATGAGGCCCGGCTAGTTTTTCTATTTTTTGTAGAGATGGGGTCTCACTCTTGCTCAGGCTGGTCTCAAACTGGCCTCAAACGATCCTCCCACTTCGACCTCCCAAAGTGCTGGGGTAATAGGCGTGAGCCACCTCGCCTGTGTTTTTTTTTTTTTTTTTTCTTTTTTGCGACAAAGTCTCACTCTGTTGCCCTGAGTAGAGTGCCGTGGCGTCAGCCTAGCTCACAGCAGCCTCAAACTCCTGGGCTCAAGCAATCCTTCTGCCTCAGCCTCCCGAGTAGCTGGGACTACAGGCATGCGCCACCATGCCTAGCTAATTTTTTCTATATATATATATATTTTTTTAGTTGTCCAGATAATTTCTATTTTTTGGTAGAGACGGGGTCTCACTCTTGTTCAGGCTGGTCTCGAACTCCTGACCTTGAGCGATCCACCCACCTCTGCCTCCCAGAGTGCTAGGATTACAGGCGTGAGCCACCACGCCCGGCCCTCGCCTGTGTTTTAAAGTAGTTTTTGGAAATGGTGTTTAACAAATGAACGTTCCTAAGCCGTATACCAATTCCCAGAGAAACTGACCTAATCTTACTTACGCTTCAGGTTTTTAGGAACACGCTCCTATGGCCTTAAGGTGTTTGAGGAAAGGCCAACATAGTTGCTGCTGTGTCCAGATGTTGGCCTGCTTGTCTGATCAGACGCCAGAAGTCCAACAGCGCCTGCTGGCTGCGGTAGTTCAGTTTCTGGGAGTCACTCGAGGGCACGGGTGGGGCATAGCCACACTGGCTGCGCCTGTTGGGTCAAGTGCTGGGCTCTTCCCGTGGTCTGGGGCAGGCGAGATGCTGTTGGCGAAGTGGAGGCCGCGCTGGCAGTTTCACTTTGCCTGGAGATGAGAGTGGCGCGAGGCCGGTGCTAATCCCGCTCCGGCCTCAGGCGGCTCTGTCTGTGTCGAGGCCGCAGCTGCAGCTGGGAGCCCAGTGGCTCTCAGCGCTGATCTCGAGGCCCCTTCAGGGCTTCCCAAGTCGTGTTTGTGCGGTCTGTGTGCTTGGCAAAAAAGCACGGCTTATCAAAATGAATTTATTTCTTACTATGTTGACTTGGAAGCCATAGCTCACTAGCTGTTGGTGTAACAGTTCACAGAATGTGGTTAGAGGGTCTCAAATGGTCCTCCCAGGGGGTCCAGAGCTTAACCCTGTCTGCCTTTCTCACCCT